CCTATCCTATCTTAACACAAGGTTTAACATTTCTATACATTTCCATAATTAAATGTATATAATTCTCATCATTCCCATTTCTTCCTGATTCACAGAATTCTCAGGAATCCCAAAGACATCCCATACTAATAATGTATATACAGGCTTAACTATAAATTTTTATATGTTTTCTTGTCCTTAATGAAAACCCCAAAAATATTTAAAAATGAACACAAATTATAAGCAAAAAACAAACAATCTAATCAATTTAAAGTCTAAAAGTGACAGTTAATAGAAATATAAATATTAACAACATTTACGAATAAATAATGTTCAAAACTGGATTAAAATAATATTTATAAGCAGTCCTTTAAAAAAGACAAAAGAAATAACTGAGTTAAAAACAAGAAAATCTTATATATTAAAGGAATTTCGAATGCTGATCTCCCTATTGCTCCAGCCAAACTTAAGACTATGTGTGATCATAGTGCTTGAAGTGGCAGAAATATTTATTAAACCCAGAATAGTAGCATTACAGCTATTGGTAGTACAAGGACCAATATATCTATCAACTCTGGTATCATCAGTGACATAATATTTCAGTACTGGAGATCAGGAATTTTTGTAACTACAGTGAAGAACCAACCATAACGATATCATCTGCAGTTAAAAAATTCATGTGATTACATAAACAGAGTTGTTGAGAGCTTGTCGGATCAGGGGATAGCCAACCCTTTCAGCCCTTTTGTTTTTTCGAAGAAATGGAATACCGTATTTACTCACATATAAGACAAAGTTTTTATCCATTTTTCACTGCTTCAAAAACCTTGATCGTCCTAAAGACACAAGCAAAGGATTCTTTGTGTTTTTGTATAATTTTTATAAACTATGTATTTGCATATTTTACCAGATTCTCACCTTCTGGTGTTTAAAAACAAAAGTATTTTATCTGGGTTGTTTAAATCATTCTTGTGTATTGCCAGGAGTAAAGATGAATAGCAATAGAAAAATAAAGCTTTTGAATTGAATTCCAAAATTACATGGGAGCTCGATATAAGTTTTAATCCATCCCACGAGAAAATATGGTTATTCAGTAATCAAAATTCAGAGAAACTCATAAGTGTAATTGACAAAGAGTGAATTTGACTGTTAAGTATTGGCAAAAAAGGTTCCCAGTTGTACAGCTTTACATGAACAAATTATGTTGTTGATTTTACAAGATTTTTTGTTGAAGTTTAAAATGCCAGTAATTTTTGCGGGACAATGTATGCATTTGTGTGCATTTGATATTTTATTTGTTATTAAATGAAATAAAATTAGAATTGTATTAATTAATTAATTAATTAATCAATTTTTCTTTATACAAATAACACTTACGTAAAACCTGGTAACCATTGAATGCCGATATGTTCAAAAGGAAATTATTCAATTTACAACGTCCAACTTCATTTTTGCACAATAACCTGAGGAAGAGCCCATAAGGGGCCTCGAAAACATTAGCTACCCTAGTATGCAACCACTCCGGTTACCTGGTTTTACGTGAGTATTATTTGTGAAGACGAATAATAACTAATTTTTTTAATTTTAATCTTTAATGTCACACCTCATCCTATATGTGAGATCATCTTATATTTGAGTAAATATGGTATGTAGAATGTTTATTCTATATTCAGTAAAACCTGCTTAATTTGACCACTTTGAGCTGGTCCTTACAAAATAATACACTTTTCAATAGGAATATATCTGCACAAAGTGACTACTGTCTATTGTGAATAGTGACCACTACGGTCATGTCCCAAGATAAGAAATCATCTTGGGTAAAGTGACCATTAAATAGAAACATAAAAACCAAACAATTTTAAAGAATGTAATTCAATTTGTATTGATCACATTGCAAATACAGTATAAAACATTTGAAATCATCATACTTTGTGGATAAGAGGTTTAAATGAAATTTTACATAATCTTTCCAAATATTTATTTTGGAAGCTTGTGTAATAGAAATAGTACTTTGAAAAATTTTAAATAATCACAAATTGAAAACATTAGAAATGCAGTGCAATTTTTAGCAGCTGCATTAGCAGAAAATTTATAAATTTCCATTATGATAATAATCATGGGTCACTATCAAAGTTTCCCTTGTCAGTGTTTTATATTTTGACTTTGTCTACTGAAGTGAGCTAGCTTTGTGTGTTCTTTGTTAAATTTCTGTGTGTGGATTTTTAATTCAAAGGCGAGTTTAATTTTTTCTTTCTTTTTTTCAATAACTCCTAAGTTTCTTATGCCAATATATCAAGGCAAGAAAATTATAATAATAAACAATGCTTTTTGTCCACGACTATAAATTAGACAGAGTTAGATAACCTAATAAATAGGGTATAACAATTTGCAGGGCTTATCACACCAAGGCCGACTGAAAGAAGGACCAGAACTTTTATAAAAAAAGGTTGGTCTTTAATAATCACATTTCAAATTTAGGTAAGTATGCATTTCAGGTACAAGGACCCTTCATCAGCTTACAAACACATGGTAACAACATAACAAATACAATACCAATAACCTGCCAATACAACAGGATAACCAACATATGCAGTGCACTGCATTTACAATTTCTCAATGTAACCCATACACTAAAACTAAATATCAAGTATAAATTAGAATACAATGACAATGTGGTATAACATATTATCTGGAACTAGTAAATGTCTTAGTTTCTCCTACATTTTCCAAATTCTGGTAGACGGTTACACTATTAATAATGAATATTGTTAAGTATATTAAAAAAACACAAAAAGGGGAAAGGAAGCTAACAATAAACTTACTCTTATTAAAACCAATTGGTCTCCATATTTTAATAAAAACAAAATACATCTAATCTATAAGCCTTTGTGAAGTCAACTGCACTGTCACACTGCATTTTACAAAGTGATGTGACTATACTCCCTACATCTGTTCAGCATCTGTTTCAAGGTTAAGTGAAAACGATGTCAATCCACCCCTCATGTAGCTTCAGTCCCACGTTGTTATTAATTCTGATGTCTTCCTGTATTTTCAGAATTTCTAGGTGTTCCTGTAGTCTTCTTTTTAGTTGATTGTTTTCTGTCATAATACACTTGATGCTATCTTTTAAAATTTCACAACCTTCAGTGTTGCAATGTTGTGCCACTGATGATGATATNTCTTATTCCACACACTAATTTCATTTGAAAATAGTAGGCAAGCCAACAAAACAATTTTTGCATTTTTACATATATACAGAGCCATTTTATCATGAAAATGTCGAACAAATTTTTTATTGAAGTCTTTATATTTAACTTAGGCATTGGCCTTTCTCTTTTAATAATGTTTTCTTTTTTATTATATGATCTTGAGCCAAAACTTTTTTAAAATAAATTTTCAATATTGCAATAATATTCCGAAATGCTAGCCACGATATAAGGGCTAAAATTAAAAATAAAATTATAAAAACTTACTTGGTGAAATAAAATATAATGTGGTGGATATACATACCTGGTACAAAATATTCTTCAATTGTATGAATATACTTTTAAAGAAAATTATAAATATAGCTCTGTAAAGAAACATATATAAAAATAACATAAAATTTTCTTTACTTTATAAATCTTAACCACTTAGTCAAATAGCTCCCTACGAGTGGAATCAGAGACAATCCTGCTAGGTGTGCACTGCGTGCATGCACACGGGCTGCCAAATCCCGAGGGTGCCCATACCGGTCAATGTCAAATGCCTCTTTTCTCGCATCACTAGCATATCTCAAAGGACGTGACAGGGTTGTAAATTTTAAACGTTTCTCACTATAGCTGTAAAAATCTAAATACGTTAAACTTAATGGTCATTTGTTTTCTAACTAATTCGTTTTAGGACTAGGTGTTGTCCACAGAAATTTCCAAAATTTACAAATTCTCAATCACTCTCGTTAAACTGGAAAAATTTCTGTCTTTATTACATCTAATATTTCGAAGAAATCAGTCTCCACTGTACTCGGCTAGAGATGGTTCAGATAAGCTTTTGTTTAAGTAAAATTTCAGCTCTTTCATCATGGTTTTGTTTATGTCCCCAATTCCCTAATCACTTAATTATTTAACTACTTTTTAAGTAGAATTAAGTCAAACTGGTTACTTTGTACTCGAATATTTGTAGTCTTGGGAAAAAGTGGAAAGACAAATTTTTATGACAACGGATACTTACGGTAAATCGTAAATTTAAGGAAAATAAATTCAAGAGCTTTTTCTGTACCTGGTGCATCTCTCTCATTCATTAAATTTAGTTGTAAATGATGCTACCAAAGTTACTTTGGTAGCATCATTTACAACTAAATTTAATGACAGTAACAGTTAACTTTTTAACATTGTATAAGAATAATGACAGTTTAACTAAATTTAATGACAGTAACAGTTAATTTTTTAACATTGTACCAGATTTTTTTCTACATCCTCTTATAGATGGGGCATACAAAATCATAATATCACTGGTTTAACATTGAAATCCGTAAGTAATATAAGATGGGAGAGCAGAATAAAAGCAAAATAAATATATCAAATATTTTAATGGATTTTTTTTAACTTCTGTCAACTATACAGAAGTATCATAAAAACATACCAGAAATTCTTATTGGTTGGGTTAAGTTATAAATCTACTCATGATTCACGTAATCAGGCGAGAGCAGCCAAATATCTAGCAGGCGGGCTGCTAACAGCCCAGAACTGGTCCTGGATAGAATTGGATGCGGTATACGTGTAGCATCCACCCAAGATCCTAGGCTTCCATTAGCTAAACCGGGTGAGGTTGGTGCTCCGTAAAGCGCATGCGCAAATCTGGCTTTTTGGATGCTGACAATACAGTGCTTCCACTCTGCCACTAATATTCGAATATACAATAGCAATCTTATTTTTTTTTCATGTGTAGTATAGAAATTTGTAATAAGATACATAATGCAGTTATAATAAAATATTGTGCGATTATTTTCATATAATTAAAATTAATATGTATTTATTTTTTAGAAAATACAAGGGAAGCAGCACATCCACCGCTTCCATGATGGCACGCCACTGATAAAGCAACTCAGGATTGATAAATTTCTCATAAAAAATTTAATTTGTTTCATTGTATTTTCTTCTGAGTTTTCATTTAGACTACTGTATATTCAATTGTTTTTTATGTTGATTTTACTTTCCCAGCTATTATGTATACATAACACAAGATGAGGTAAAGATCTAGAAATGAAATTTGGCATGGCAGCTTGTGTATAAGGGACATCGATGCTATTAAATTTTGGTTCTTAATTAAAGATAGACAGGATGGAGACATAGAAGGAGTCATGTGTCATATCTCGAGTGGGGTCAGACTTAATGAAGATGTTATGCATTATTATCGTTTACAATTTTATATGAAACTGATTACTACCCTCAAAATTAAGCTTTATATTGTAATTAAAAAATATAAAAGTTATGAGATTACTTAGAGAATAATATCAATAGCAGGGAAAGCTATGCAACTCATTGCTGGATTTTTTTGTATTTCATATTAAATTTTCTATATTTGGGCTTTTTGCTTATTTCTACTTAACTGATTTCATCAAGAACACCTACATCCCTCTTTCTGCATAAGGTGACCACATGGAGCTTGTCCCTTCAGTGGTCACATTAATAGCGGGTTTCACTGTATTCAAAATTGAATTCTTGTTTACTTGTTTATCATGGAAGAATGGCTGAATCAATTTCTATTCACATAAATATTACTACTGTAATTATATTTTTCAGAAAGTTATAAACTATTTTGAAATAGATTAAATTACCAGTATTCAAAAGAAATAACTTCTATTTATTACTTAATTTATGTATTTATTTGAATTTTTTTTTACAGGACAAAAGCACAATTGAATTTTTTTGTGATTATATTAAAAATGATAAGCTTGAAAGTTTATACTCTGCGTACCTGGTTTTGGCAGACAAGAATGCAGATGGCATATTTAGTATTAAATGCAAGAAAATTGCAAAAATGTATTCAGAGTGTTTAAAATCCTTTCAGACTGAAAAATTAGAAGATAAAGATGATTTTCTAGAAGACTTTCCAGATTTCTTAGACAAGAAATTACAAACCAATACTTATCTTTCCTACAAAATTGTAGGTCAACTGTATCGACGTTGCCAAATAATGCATGCAGATTTTGAAAATTTTGTAAATTCAGAAAATACTTCACATCTGACTCCTGATCAAGATTTAGATTATCATGGAAGAGAAAATTATGAAGAATCTGCCAACAAAGCATTACTGATGTATCATAACAAATTATCTGAAATTCTTGAGGAATATGGAATTGAAACTGAGGAAGAACTGGTATCTAATTCCATTAGAAAACTGCATATACAAAATAATAAAAATTTATGCAGTACATCCTTAATTCAATTTAGAATAAAGATGTTAGTAGATCAGATGAGAAGGGAATTTGTTAAAGAATTTTTAAAGAAAACAAGTTTTACTGTACTTAACAGCAAAATAATCAATATTCTTTGTACCAGTAAATACAAAGACAAAGTATTTCAGAAAGCCTCAGCATGGTATATGGCAACATTTAATCAAGTTGGCAGAAGAAAATATTTTGGATTGCCATGGACTATTTATGAAATTTTAAATAAACTTAAATCCTATAATCAGTGTAAATCAAATAGGAACAGAAGCTTAAAATTCCAAACAAAATTAGACAAGATGTTGAACTTATATTGTCCAATTCAGTGTGAGGATGATAAACATAAAGCTGTCATCAAACTGATGCATGATTTAATTTATTATGAAATATTCCAATCAAACAAAATCACTCAGAATGAAACTGAAAATCTTATAATTGAAATTATTTCTCATATTTTCCAGATTTTGTCACCGTATTCCTTAGATATAGGCAAGAAACCTTTGGCATCTGAGATTTTATTGATGCTGTTAGAAAGAATGTCATGGTTGCTGTTTGAAAAAAATTCCTATTATCAAGCATCTTCTAGTCATTTCTTAAATAGTCAAACTCTTGGAAGATTAGCATTTGAAGTGCTGCTAAACTTAGTTTGTTTAAACAATCTAGACTATTTTAAAATGAGAGATTCCAAAATAGAAATATTGCAGAAGGCTACTTTTAGGCTCTCGCTTGATGACAATGAATTGTCAGAGAGATTCTCTCATTATGGTGGCAAAATCAGTCAATTAATGATGGATTGGACAAACGTTGATAGTTTTCAATACAGATTTAAAGAATCTAACAACAAATTCTTTTTGTTAGTAAGAGTCATTGGCAGTAAATATGCAATAAATTATTGCAAAACAGTAATTATGCAAAAAGATTTTGCTGAAACAATAGCATTTTGTATATCTTTAGATAATACTTATGACTAAACTAAGAACAGAATGGTTCAAAGTTATATTTTCAGGAACTGAAAATACAGTATATTTAATTTATTTTTATGTACAGAGTATTCCTAAAGTCTGTATGTGNGTGTAAGATCTAGTTAAAGAGGACGTCTTTTATTTTATCTACAACTATTATTTTATATTTTATTTTATTTATAATAGTCGCAGCTCACAAAAGAATTTTATTCCTCTATTTACAAAAGGATTTCACTCCTCTTAACCGTAGTAAAACAAGAATTTATTCAATATGTCGGTAATTTATAACGTTAAGAAAAACTTAAACTGTAAATTGTAGGACATGACCAATATTATAAAGAATAATATAATAAATAATATAAATTTCATGATTTTAACCCCGTATAAAGGTCGTTACACCTATATCAATTAATCAAGCCGTACTTCTAATAAGTTACTGTGTCATTTTAGTAGTATGAATTGCTTATAAATTACATTTTTATGTCGTGTTGAATAGCATTCGTTGAGTTTAAACTGGTTATTGTTATCAGACCCTATGGTGGGGGGGTCAGCGAAGTTATTTGGTTCGGGTCTTACATTTACAAAACCCTAAAAATATTCGAGAAGAATCTTTAATTTTGTTCAAATTTATACAATTCTTAATATACTGAGGTCTCAAATAGGTAAATGAACCAGGCCTCTTTTGACCTGTAAGAGGCTCTAATTGTAATAAACGTGTAATAGTTTTAATTTTGTTTTTTTTTTCCTCCCTTTCAAACTCAAAATATGTTCGTCTCTTTACTAATGGTTGCATACGTAAGCAGAGGTTTTTAGAGGTTGAAAGAGGCCCGGCCATTTACCTTTTACAAACCCCCAATTTATAAAAATAACAAAACAATGTTAAAAAATGGTTGCATACGTAAGCAGAGGTTTTTAGAGGTTGAAAGAGGCCCGGCCATTTACCTTTTACAAACCTATAATTTATAAAAATAACAAAACAAATATTTTTCTGAAATTTGTCTTAGTTTGAATTCTTTCTACCCTATGGGACTAACAGGGTCTTTTATATACCCATTTTGGGGTTAGTCAGGTACACGTTAGGGATGATCAAGTGATTAGCAATGAGATCCCAACGTATCTGGATAAATCAGTTACCCATAAAAATTTTGAGTCAATTTAAGTGCAGCTCTTAATCTCTCAGAGCAATGGCTAATTAAATCCTTTCAGGGCCTTTCTACATAATTTTGTGGATAACATTTAATTGAACCTACAAAATTATTTCTAAATTATGACATACAATTGTAACAGCAACATTGCTTTAATTTTGCAGTTTTGGAACACACTTCTTGTGCCTATAGGGCAATACAGCACTGCTCAGAGCATCTGCTAGTGCCTCAGCCATCTAGCCAATATACTTTGAATCAGTGGCCTGCCGTGACATTTTATGATATGGAAGCTGTGTTTCTGTAAGAAGTCGACATCCAGGGGCAATCAGTCAATTGCGCGTCAGTGATGGTCTAGAGTCCATTCGTATCGTTTATTCGATAAGCCAGTAAAAACTGTAGACTTCTCTAAATGCATTTTTAATATCACAATTACATTCCGAATCGCTAGCCACGATATAAGGGCTACAATTAAAAATAAAATAATAAAAACTTACTCGGTGAAATAAAATATAATGTGGTGGATATACATACCTGGTACAAAATATTCTTCAATTGTATGAATATACTTTTAAAGAAAATTATAAATATAGCTCTGTAAAGAAACATATATAAAAATAACATAAAATTTTCTTTACTTTATAAATCTTAACCACTTAGTCAAATAGCTCCCTACGAGTGGAATCAGAGACAATCCTGCTAGGTGTGCACTGCGTGCATACACGAGGACTTCCGAAACCCGATGGTGCCCATACCGGTCAATGTCAAATGCCTCTTTTCTCACATCACTAGCATATCTCAAAGGACGCGACAGGGTTGTAAATTTTAAACTTTTCTCACTATAGCTGTAAAAATCTAAATACGTTAAACTTAATGGTCATTTGTTTTCTAACTAATTCGTTTTAAGACCAAGTGTCCTCAGAAATTTCCAAAATTTACAACTTTTCGGTCACTCTCGTTGAATTGGAAAAATTTGTCTTTATTACATTAATAATATGAAGAAATCAGTCTCCACTGTACTCGGCTAGAGATGGTTCGATTAAGCTTTTGTTTAAGTAAAATTTCGGCTCTTTCATCAGGGTTTTGTTTATGTGCCCAATTCCCTAACCGCTTAATTATTTAACTACTACTTAAGTAGAAATAAGTCAAAACCTGTTACTTTGTATTCGAATATTTGTAGTCTCGGGAAAAATGTGGAAAGACAAATTTTTATGACAAACGTATAGATAAATCGTAAATGAAAGGAAAATAAATTCTAGAGCTTTTTCTGTACCTCGTGCATCTCTCTCATTCATTAAATTTATTTGTAAACGATGCTCTCGAAGTAACAGTTAATTTTTTAACATTATACAAGAATTGTACACGTTTTTTTCTACATCCCCTTAGAGATGGGATATACGAAGTCGTAATATCACTGGTTTTACATTGAAATCCGTAAAATAAAATCGGAGAGCGGAATAAAAATATCAAATATTTTAATGGATTTTTTTAACTCCTGTCAACTATACAGAACTATCGTAAAAACACACCAGTAAAGTCTTATCGGTTGGGTTAAGTTATAAATCTATTCGTGATTCGCGTAATCGGGCGAGGGCGGCCAAATATCTAGCGGGCGGGCGGTTAACAGCCCGGAACCGGTCCTGGATAGAATTGGATGCGGTATACGTGTAGCATCACCCAAGATCCTAGGCTTCCACCGGCTAAACCGGGTGAGGTTGGTGCTCTGTAAATGCACTAATCTAATGCTGACGATCAGTGGCGTAGTGTGGGTGTCAACCGCCCGGGGCAAAAGAAAATTTCGCCGCCCCCTTATTTAGGTATCTCAATTTAAACAAAAATTCAGTTTCGTCACAGAATAAGTAATGAAAAATTCCGTGCTAGTGTTGCCACCTTTTTAATATCGCTGACCCGGACGGCAGGTGAGGTTTGTTCGAACAGAAGTTCCTGACGCATGCGTATGTCATTTTGCAATGCGAAAAAAAATGTGCAGTGCATGCCGGTTCAGTTAGCGATTAGGGACGAGCAAAAAAGAAAAAAAGGTCAACAGGTTGTGCACGAAATCCAGGACTGTCCGGATGATGACACTTTTCGTGCTCATTTCAATTGGTCCGAATCGTAGGTGCGACGAAAATATGTGATGAAGTGGTTCAAGTTTTTACAAGATATTATTATTATTATTTATTGTGAAATTTTGCCGCCCACTAAAAAGTAATTTTGCCCCCCGGGGCGGGCCGCCCCTGCCGCCCCCACTACGCTACACCATTGCTGACGATACAGCACTTCCACTCCGCCACTAATATTCGAATATATAATTACTGTATGTTTTTGCCTGAAAAGTTACTC